TTGCTCTGTGACTTTGTGGCGGGGGAGGGCAGTTACAGATCTTATGCAGCGGTCCTTATCCTGGCTCACAGATCCACGCAGCAGGGGATATGTAACCCTACCCCCCCTGCCAGAAAGTCACATAGCCGACACATACACACAGTCCCCCCCAGGAGTGCTGGCAGGCTCCATTGAAATAACCAGTCCACCAGTGCGGAGCCTGTCATTCCGGGAGTTTAGAGGCATCATTTGCATCCGAACACTGAACCCGCCCCCCGCCACAGTCTGCGTCCCCGGTTTAAAATATTCCCGCGAAAACAGCAATACAGACAACGGTGTTCATTAACAAAATCGAAATGATTTTATTTTTTGGGAAGGGGAAGGGGGTGAAGGGGGTATGGAACTGGAGAGGATAGTCAAAATGAACTGGGTAAAGAAACGGGGGCAGATTCAGCTTTTCTGTCCACAAACTGAAAAGTCACTGGTTGCCCTGCTCACTCAGGAACCTAGCTTTCAAAGCCTCCCGGATGCACAGGGCGTCCCGCTGGGATCTTCTAATGGCCCGGCTGTCTGGCTGGACGTAATCAGCAGCCAGGCTATTTGCCTCTAGCTCCCACCCCGCCATAAAGGTCTCCCCCTTGCTCTCACACAGATTGTGGAGCACACAGCAAGCTGCAATAACGATGGGGATATTGGTTTCACTGAGATCACAGCGAGTGAGTAAGCTTCTCCATCTCCCTTTGAGACGGCCAAAAGCACACTCCACCACCATTCTGCACTTGCTGAGACGGTAGTTGAACAGTTCTTTTTCTGTGTCCAGGGCGCCAGTATAGGGCTTCATGAGCCAGGGCATTAGCGGGTAGGCTGGGTCCCCGAGGATGACTGTAGGCATCTCCACATCCCCAAGAGTTATTTTGTGGTCTGGGAAGTAAATACCTTCCTGCAGCCGTCTAAACAGACCAGAGTTCCTGAACACGCGAGCGTCATGAACCTTGCCCGGCCATCCGACTTAGATGTTTGTAAACCGTCCCCGATGGTCCACCAGTGCTTGCAGCACCATTGAAAAGTAGCCCTTTCTATTGATGTACTGGCTGGCCTGGTGGTCCGGTCCCAGGATAGGGATGTGAGTCCCATCGATAGCCCCACCGCAGTTTGGGAATCCCATCGCGGCAAAGCCATCTATGATGACCTGCGCGTTTCCCAGGGTCACTACCTTTGGGAGCAGTACCTTCACGATCGCCTTGGCTACTTGCATGACAACAACCCCCACGGTAGATTTGCCCACACCAAAGTGGTTCGCGACTGACCGGTAGCTGTCCGGCGTTGCAAGCTTCCAGAGGGCTATGGCCACTCGCTTCTCAACTGTGAGGGCTGCTCTCATCCTGGTATTCTGGCGCTTCAGGGCAGGGGACAGCAATTCACAAAGTTCGAGGAAAGTCCCCTTCCGCATGCGAAAGTTTCGCAGCCACTGGGATTCATCCCAGACCTGAAGCACTATACGGTCCCACCAGTCCGTGCTTGTTTCCCGGGCCCAGAATCGCCGTTCCACGATATCCACATGCCCCATTGCCACCGTGATGTCCTGGGCGCTGGGGCTCGTGGTTTCTGACAGCTCTGTGCTACTCTCCGACTTCAGGCCATCACGGCGGTGTCGTAGCCTCCTCGCCTGATTACTCTTCATCTGCCTCAGGGAAAGGTGTATGATAAGCTGCGAGGTGTTGAGAACGGCCACAAGTGCAGCGATGGTCGCAGCGTGATCCATGATCGCAGTGCTGTGGCGTCCGCGCTGTCACTGACCAGAAAAGTGCGCGAACTGATTTCCCGCCGGCGCTTTCATGGAGGGAGGGAGGGCGTTAGTGACGGACGGATGACGACAAATTTTTTTTACCCAGAAGGCATTGGCGGCTCGACCCAGAATTCCGATGGGCAGCGGGGACTGCGGGAACTGTGGGATAGCTGCCCACAGTGCACCGCTTCCACTATCGACGCTCGCCCGTTAGTGTGGACTCACAAAGTCGAATTACTGTCCTTAGTGTGTCCTTAGTGTGGACACACACGTTCGACTTTGCAATATCGATTCCACATATTCGATTTAAGTAAAATCGAATTAACCTCGTAGTGTAGACATACCCTTAGATAAAGTTCATTCTGGCTGTGAGGTTGGAGTCTTATGGTGAAAGAGGTTTTCATGCTGTTTGCTAAGATGCAGATCTGTTTGTTCCTGTCCACCTTCCTTGCCAAAGAATGGCCACTTGATTGGCGATTGCTAATCAACTTTGATGACACCTAGCTAGAGGCGTCAGCTTGTCCTTCGTCTTTGAAAAACTGGTTTACCCAGACTTGTGTGGTGAACATATTTCAGACCTAATTTCAGCTTTGTAACTTTACATATGATGTTGCTACACACATTTCATCATGATGTTATTGACCAGGAAGTTATTAGTTTTCAATGATACTTCACAAGGCATATTTTGTACGAAGATTATTACAGTAGTATGTAGGATGTGATTATAGGGGTGCAGTCAGTCATAATGGTGTGCATATGCATAATGGGGATTTAGGTGCACGACTTCCATTTTGGTCAGTGGAAGTTGTATACTAAAACCATGTAAATTATTCCATTACTGTGTAGAGATTTACTATAGCCATGCATATGATCAACACTTATACATAATTGTTAATGCATATTTACATAATATATCATGATTGTATTATCATAAAAATCTGTCATTTGTTAAACTGCAGGATAGGGTCTACTATACATAATATTTCTATCTATTGTGCTTTCTTCTTTTGAGGTCCCAGATTTCTTTACCATCACTTCTGGTCATGTGTGGTTTTTAAGTGCAGCTACAGCAAAAAGTTTAAGCATAGATAGCTTTCTTACCATTACTAGTTGCCTTTGGGGCCATTGAAAGAACTCCCATTGAATATCATGGCACCAGCATGTCGTCATGTTGTTGATTGATGGAGATATCAGATCCTTGCAATTATGTCTGCTATCCTAGGCTAGAAATGTCCTTTGCAGTATTGGCTGTGCGGAGCAATAAGGTTCAAGGGCCCAAAAGTCTACTAATTCCAGCTTGCTGTTGAAAAAGTCCTGTGCAAACTGACATTATCAGAAAAAAACCAACATTTTAAATCTCATGTCTACTTATGTGGTGGCACTCTTTTCCTCCATTATATGCACAAATAATAATGAAAACAGTTCCATTATAAAATGTGGTCCCCCCCCCCAAAATCACATTTCTCAGTAAATAGAACATGAATCATGGGTTGTGAAGCCCATATATGTCACGGAATCTTGTACTCTTTGATTGCTCCAGACTTGGTTGAGTTTTTATATTCCAAACAGACCTTTTATTAAGGCTAGAGCAGTTCCATATGATTTCCAGGGCACCTATGTATTGAATACACAAGATGCTGTGGATCACCCCTGCAACTTTTATGCAAAGTGGAGCAAAGGAGAGGAGGGAGAGTTGGGAGGAGAGGGAGTTGGCTGCCTTTTTCAGTAGTCCATCTTGTGGGCTTCAAGATATCCTGTTTTTGTCATATGACTCAGTCTAATTATTTTGGATTTGTAATCAAAGGTTGAATAAAATGTACTCTATTTACTGTAAGTATATAATGCAGCATGTTTAATTATATATGTAGCATGCTGTCAGTGCTGCTAGAAATTTGGTTTGAAAATAAACATGTTCAACTAGTTTGTTTGCAGAGCCAAGAATCTTGATAGTGAATATGGTGAATTTAGTGAGGTCACCATTTTACCATATAGTTGGTACACATAACACTGGATGAGTTACTGGTACAGGTAAGGCTTAGAAAGTCAGTCTAATGTGGGCATTAGTACAAAGATAACTACCTGTAAGTCACTGCCTGGCAGCTTCCAAAAGTTAGTTTCTAATATTGGTTTAAGATCTTTTTATACAACAGAGATGTTTTCTTGGTAACCTGAGAATAGTATTTTACTGCTTTACGTATGAAAAAATCAGTGTCCCTTTGTGTTTGAGTTGTTAGAATTTTTTAAGAGAAAAAAGAATTATGTAGCACAATTCTCTTGATTATTTGTTAGGTTTAGAAGCTTTGCTTCTGAGATGAATGGTATAACAATTTTAAATCTTGGCTTTTTGCTGAGGTCTATAAAGTCTTGGATTGATGTTTTATTACTTGAATTATGGTAAGATTTTTCTTTTCTATAACTGGAAAAAGACTTGCCCAGCTTTCCTTCAATTGCTTGAGTAAATCTGAGTTGCAGTGATGCAGATTGGTCTGTACTCAGTGGAGGATGTGTTTAGAACGTGAATAATTAGGTGTGTTGACTGTTTGTATCAGTTAGCAAGTAACACTAGTAACATGAAAGGAGCCATGTACTAATTAAAATTACAAACATCCAAAACAGTAATATAAACAGACATAGAGGAAATGCGAAATAACTACATTTTCACTGTAAAACCAATAATCCTTTTTTCTTCTGTTCTTTAGGTTCTTGATTGTTACAGACCATTTGCTGAAATGTCCAGAGCTGGTAAAAGTCATGTATGCCAAACTGAGCAATCAAGAAAGGTAACCCCAAAAACCAATGTGGCTTTTAGTATTTAGCATTCCATATACAGTATCCTGTTCACATGATTGAAAAACTGTGTGGTTTCGTAGCTGGCACATCATCTCTAAATACATGTTTCTATGTCAGTAATGGTTTTAAATTGGTTGGTTAACATTACAGCTTAGCCACAACTGGCAGTGATTTATGTAGGGTTGCAGAATCCAGGTTGGCGCCATTACTCAATAAAGAAATACAAAAAAAAAAATAAAAATTAAAGGCAAGATTTCATGCTTGTGCCTTGATTTCATAAGAGCACCGCACCCTGCTACATTTTAGAGCTGCATTTGAAATATGCTCAGCTGTTCGTATCACAGTTGTGATAACTAGAAATTAAAAGGAAGTCTGATAGAATGGATTTACTGTAGTTGGTGTGCTTCAGTCTGTTCAGTTGAAAGTTATAGACATGTATTTGCTTATGATTACTTAGTTTTTTTAAGATCTTCATTGCACATTTGAAAACTTGAGTCTAGAAAAAACAAAACAAGCATATTGCATCTATAAAGACTCTGGTTTTTACAAGGGGGAAAGTGTAAAATTTACTTAGAGTTAGAATTATTAACTCTTGAGAATCTTGCAATATAAGCAGGGGGGATGTGGTTTAGATAGGAGAGAGCTTGAGATTCTCATAGTCCTGTGCACTTTACATTGCATATTTTTACCCTTATTAAAAGTTGCCACTATCCTTCCCATTACCATCAGTGGGACAGAAGCCACAAGATTGCATGAATTAGGTTGACTACCATCTCCTATCGCTTTTGTAGGTGCAAGATGCTGTAGAGGTGGCCACCCATCTCTTCATTGTTTTCCATGGGACTATTGTCAGGCTGCCGTCAGAGAAGATGGTAGCTCCCTAGGCAGTATGACTTAAAAACTGGATAGAGAACTATGAAAAGGCAGGGAGAGGGGGAGAATGGGATGGGTTGAGAACTATAGGGGAAAGAGCAAAAATATAGGGGTAGGTTTAGGACAGAAGACTGTAAGAAGGGCAGGAGACTAGGTGGAGCAGGGAGGGTGCCTGACAGAGGATGGGCTGACAGAATGGGGAAGAATAACAGCTTATCTCCTACCGCCCCCAGAACCAGGGAGTCCCTACTCAGACAATCAGTGGGAAGGGAAAAGTGACTATTTTAAACCTCAAGCATTTTTGGGGGGTGTAACTAGTGATTTTTTTATTTTATTTTATGGGATTATTTGGTACTGAGTTAGATTGTTAATTTTTAGTTTTAGCAGTGGAAAAGTTTGCTTGATTCGTCAGTTCTTGGAAAGGTGTCGGACTGCCACATTCCATCTGTAGCATGTGACTTGTCATAGTAAGGTGCTATGCTGCTACAGCTGGTCGACCTACTGAACAAACATTTTCAATGCACTTATTACACCTATTATGAATCACAAGAATTCTGCAAATCAGCAATCAAAGTTAACAAACTAAAAAAACAGGAAAATTAATCAGAATGTGCAGATAGTTCATCTGAAAATGGTTAGTTTAGTTTTAATTTAAGAGTTATATATAATGTACTAGTAAATGTGCTGCAAAATATTTTGTAAGATCTTTAATATTACTAAGATCTCAGAACTCTGCTATTGAATCTTATGCCTATAATTCCCTTTTTCATATTTCAGAGTGTATTCTCTGTCTCACATGACCAATGAGAGAAAAAGTCCAGTGCATGTAACAATGTCCTGACTGCCATTAGCTGGACAGAAAAGAGGCATTGTAAACTAGACCATGGGGCATTATTGTCTTATTCTGAGACAAGTCAGAGAGACTTCACTACAAGGGTGCCACCTTGGGTGTCCGTTAAAGCTGCCTTTATGGATGAGGACAGAAGGGATGCAATATTGAGGTGTCTGGGATGACAGTTTAAGCTTACAAATACATACAAACTGTCTCTGTTACCTGTATATGTTGTATATTTCACATTAAATATACTTATTTCAAATCTGTTTACAGGAAATTAACTATGTTGATAGCATTTGTTGGTACACAAATTAGTGGTGGCCCTTAAAAACTTGCCAGTTGCCTTAGAGAACTAAAGTTTATGCAATTGGAGAACTGCAATATTTGCACTAGTCAAGGTATTTTCTGTAATCAGGGCCCAATGCACTTGTCATGCTGAGGCACTTGCCAAAGAGTTGCCCTGCTTGCTGTGGAAATGAGCCCCAGAATCTAAAGTTTCAATTAAAAAACAAATACATTTCTGCCCTTTATAGCTATGAGGAAAAATCATTCAAATGTTAACTGAATGTACCCAATATGGTGACGCGTGCCTAAGTCTGCAGATAGCCTGCAACAGTAGCTCTGAGTGGTCTGAACTGCCCATCTATCTCAGTGATGTTCTAGCTCTGAAAACTAATGATTACACTTAAATGTTTGTGTTAGCCATTTCTCTGTTGATAATTGTTGCGGAAACATCCAACCAGAATAATATGCTGAAAGATTTTCTTTAAGAGCCAGTTGAAACCTGTTGGCATTTTGCCAAATTCCAGAGACTTCCCCAGCTCCCCTCAAAAATATTTTGCAGAAATTTTAATAGAAACGTTTCTTTAAAACAAATCAGTGTAGAATATGCACAACACTAATTAGTTCTCTAAACTAATTGCATGTTAGAATTTTTTAAACTAAAATGTACATATTTACCATGTTATCTGTTGTTGTTTTTTTAAGGGAAAATCCTCTCCTTCATATCGAATCTTTTTATTCCCGTAGAGATCTTCCAGTTGCCCTTAATCTTTTTTTATTCTCTTCACTCTTAAATTAAGAACAAACAAACAAACAAAAAAACCCAATCAACCACCCAACCTTCAAAGGTTTGATAGAACTTTCAATTATTTGCATCTTGCTGTTTTGGTTTTATTTGAAAGGACACAGAAGCACATCACAGTGAATGGTGCAAACCTTAGTAAAATTTTCAGCAGTAAAACAGTTACCAAACAGTTTCTATTTTGAAAAGTTAATTAGTATAAATGGCATCACCCTTATTCAGCATACATACTGCTTTGCTGTATTCAGAGTCCTATCTGCTTACTGGTAGTAATAAAAATAAAGTTTTTTTGTTTTATTACTTTTTACTCTGATTAGTACTGCAGAGCCAACATTTCTAAAGGATATTCAGCTGGATTCTATTCCTTCACGTCTTTAGTAAGTTCTGATGAGTTGCACTTGTACCAGCCCCTTTAAGGTGTAATTTGAAGACATCACTGTTGGGGAAGTGTAACTGAGGGCCTAACTTACCTTGCAGAACCTTTAGTACTGAAGATGCACGAAAAGGAAAGATCTGAGGTTAAATTCACAGGGCTGGCAGTTAACAACCTCTTTTTAGGTCATCTTTTCTCATCTGTTTTCTTCTGGTCTTCAAACAACCCCCCCAACCTCACCAAGCTCATCATCAGAAGCAAGCTCCCCACAAACAAAGACACACCAACTTAAAGCAGCACCAGCCCCTTCCATAATAGATGCAAAACTTGCAGACATATCTCCACTGCTACAATGATTAATATTCCCCACAACACACTTTTCAAGATCTCTGGATCCTACACATGCTTGTTACAACATGTGGTGTACCTCATCCATGCAACTAAGAACTGTGTGGATGAAACAAGACAATCACTACACACTTGAATGAATTCACACAGAAACACCTTATCACCTATGGACCAATACTTTTCACAAAACAATCACTTAGCATCTGACCTCTTAGTCCTTGCCATCAAAGGAAACCTCCACAATACTTTCAAAAGATGAGACTGGGAACTTAAATTCATATCTTTGTTAGATACTAAAAATCATGGACTCAATAAAGACACTAGGTTTATGGCCCACTGACCATTCTTTGTCCTATGACTGCAGAAGTGTTAACTGCCCATTTCACCTTGAATTATTTCTGGCAACGTGTGTTAACTCCTTATGCTTAATCTGTTCCACCTTGTATTTAGCTGTGATGCTTTGAATACTCTTCCCAGACCTGAAGAACAGCTCTGTGTAAGCTTGAAAGCTTCTTTTACTAGCAGAATTTGATCCAATAAAAGATATTACCTCACCTACGTTGGCTCACTTTCTCTCGCTATTTTCTATATCAAATATGGTCAGTTTACTTTCATAGAACTCTACAATGCTATTTTTTCAGAATGTCTTTCAGAGTAGAATTGACATCATCCATTTGAAAAAATGACCAGATTTTAGACTGAGGAGGTTACTGAGTTTAATACCCTCAAGCATATGCATGTCTAAGGAGTCAAGTCATTCATAGATTTTTATAGACAGAGGGAACTATTACAATCTGACCACCTGCATAACACATACTATTGAATGTTCACTCAGAATAGAACCTAGTAATAGCTATGTTTCAGATTTAACACTGGTGGTTGCTCTCACTTTTAATGCTATCATTCATTTACAAACTCTAGAAAGCAGCACTGTGTTACATTGATTGTTGTGAACTCTTTATGGTAGTGGTTGCATGATGTCCTTGCTAGTAAGGTGAAATCAGGAAGAACTAGGTTCAATTTGTATTGGAAAAGGTTCAAATTATGTTCATGGCATAGAAACAGAAGTTAGATAAAAAACATAAAGTACTCTTTCTGGAAGGTTACAATGATAACGTGTAGTAATCACAACAAGCAAGAGTCAAAGCAAGCTGCTCCATGAGACAGAGGCACAGTCACTCCACCCTGTTTTAGGTTAGCCTTTTCCAGAATGACTCTGATTGCACACTTCTACACACAACCCCCTGGCCTTCAAGCAAGATCAGGAACCACTCTCTGTGCTCCACCCTATTCTTAAATGGATAGCTTACAATTCCAACACAGTCCTCAATATATCACAGCTAGGGTGACCAGATAGCAACTGTTAAAAAATGGGATGGGGTAGGGGGTAATAGGCACCTATATAAGAAAAAGTCCCAAAAAATGGGACTGTCCCTTTGAAAACGGGACATCTGGTCACCCTTATCACAGCTGAGAAAAGAGCCACAAGAATAATTCCAGGTCTGGAAAACCTGCCTTACAGTGAGAGACTTAAGAAGCTCAGTCTATTTAGCTTCTCTTAGATAAGTTCAGAAGTGTCACTTGATTACTCTCCTAAGTACCTACATGAGAAGACTTCTAATAGTAGACATTGCCTTAATCTACCAGACAAAGACATCATAAACTCCAGTGGTTAGAAGTTGAAGGTAGACAAATTCAAACTGGAAATAAGTTGTATGTTTTGAACGGTGAAGGTAATTAACCACTGGAACAATTTAACAAGGTATGTGGTGGATTATCCATCACTCAAAATCTTTGTAAATTCAGGTTGGTTGTCTTTCTAAAAGCTATGTTCAAGTTCAACCCAAGTTTATGGACTTGAAGCAAAAATTACTGTGTAAAATTCTACAGTATGGATTATGCAGATGGTCAGATAGTAATAGTTCCCTCTGTCCATAAAATCTGTGAATGACTTGACTCCTTAGACATGCATATGCTTGAGGGGCATTAACCCAGCTAAACTCAGTCTAAAATTTGGTCATTTTTTTCAGTGGGTAATGGTAAACCGCTTTTAGCATGGTTGCCCTAGAAAATGGAAATTGACCAATTATTCACACACAGTTGGGGACATTGGGCAAATGACTTCTGGTAGTTTGTGGATGGGGAAGTGTGGTGGGAATGTGTTCCCCTACCTTATCCTTAAATGGTACAACTATCCTGTGATGGGGCCTCATCAGATTTATAGTGAAATCTATGAAGTGATCCATATCCGACAACCTCCTATCTTGTGACCACCCCAGCTTATCCCCAATGTATTGAGTACAGTTCCCTACCACATTCATTAAAAGGATTTTCACAGTCCCTTGAATGGTTGCTTAAAACAGGCTTCACTGTATTAGTGAGATATCGAGATTAACTCAGGAAGAACTGCCTGCCTTTTACCTTGGTCAGTTGTTTTTTCAGGGTTAATAGAGTTGTGACCATTCTTTTCCACAGGAAAAAAAAAATCTCTTTTCCCCCTCATTGTGACAACTCACTTGGCAAATTAAACTGTGTGGAGTAGTTCAAATGCAAATTTAATTTTGATTTTAAATGTCAGTCCTCACATCTGAATTGCAAATATTTTAGTCAAAGGAAACTCTGAGCTTGCACTTGAATGTGCTCAATAAAGAAAACTCTTTCAAGATGAGAGAATGACAGTAGAACCTAGCTAATCCACACTCTCTTCTCAGCAGAGGTTTAATCAGGAGTGCTGCAGTGAGGTGTCATATTATGAGCACTTCTTTATTCCTTTTTGTGTGTAAAGTTTGCATTGTGAATTGATATATCAGAAATAAAACTAAACTATAATTATCAGAGTAAATGACCAAAGTACATTTTGCAATAAACAGTCTTCTTGTTCCCTTATGTGCTAGTTCAGATAATTCCATAATTTTCAATGGGAGTTTTAATGATTAATGTGGACTGGAGAGTTTCTACAATCTATCTCTTGGCAATTATATTACAGTTATATAGACAAAGGTATATTTTTTCATTGATTTATTGAGCCGCTTCCCCCCTCAACACACACGTTTATTTGTAGTTTTCTATCAGGAAGGAGGGAATTAGTAGAAGATTATATACACAAAATAAAGTGTAAATGAAGGGGCAGGCACACTTAAAGGGATGCTGTCAAGTAGTTTAGGTTGTGTATATGTGTGTATTCTGTTAAAAGTAACTTTAAAGGGAGATTTTAATATTCTTCTCTCCACCCTCCCTACTCATTATGTAGCATTCTGTAGCATTGTCAGGCACAAAAGTAGAAAATGAACAGGCTATTTTTAAAAAAGTCAATTTGACTAGACCTTTCTGGCTAGGCTGTCTCAGTTGAACGGTGTGCAAAAATTATTCAGAACGTGTGGTGAAAGTTAATTGCTGTCTAAAGCTCCTTTGCATTTTGAAAACCAGACATCATGATAGTACCTCAGGTGAATTTTTTTAATAGACACAGTTTTTAACTATATTCATTTAATCTATTGTTAGCCTTAGTTGACTTTGTAAATTTAGTTAACAAGTTTACCTACTCATTTATTCATTTTAATTTCAGGATTACTTTGTTAGAACTGATAATGGCCAAAATAAGTGAGAAAAATTCAATGACCAGTGAGGAAATGGCAGTGCTCTTGAAAGATGCTGAATTTCTTGCAAGCCTTTTCCAGGAGAAATGTCATGATGTGCTCAAATTAACTTCTGCTGCAAATACGGAAGATGAGGTAAGACTTCAGGAACACTATGTTAGAGTCTGAAGTTGCTAACGTGGGTTGGTTCATGTACATAAAATCACAATGATCTCTTGCCTATATACTCAAACTTCCTTTGGATAGTAAAGCAGCTGAAGAGATCACAGGAATCTCTTGAAGCTTTTTGGTTTTCTTAAAATCTCAATTTGCTGCTGTACAGTGAGCGTTGCCTCTACCAAGAAATGGGGTGGAATTCCTTAGAAGACCTTTCACTCCTACATGATGTTGACTAAGAATTCGGTGCTTGCAGAGGATAGCTCTGTACTTGACATCACAGGAGGTGGTGGTGGAAAACTTATTTTCGGTCATTTTTAGTTTGAGTCGTATGTCTTGACTTATTCTAGTTTTACCAAGGGCTATTCCTATTTATTTAATTTTTTAATTGTGAATTTTATTTTAGTCAAATAGTCTTACTTCTATAGAGACCTTGGAAGCCAAGTTAAATTTGCTGAACAAAAATAGCATTTCTGACTAGTTTTTCATTGGTTTGAAACAAAAATAGATGGAGCTGTAACCTTATCCTGTTTTTTGACAAAAATGGCTCAACTAGATAACAAATTACACATATTTAAGATATGTAAAGTATCAAATGCAACCATTTAAAAACATCTTATAAGTAGTGAATTTTTAAAATGCAGTTGGCTAATTATAAATACAATCTCTTTCATATTGTGATTTAGAGTTTAGCTTTTGGGTGTCTTTTTATTTCCTCTTTGTGCTGAGGAGGGAGGAGTGTCCAAGAGGGTCTCTTCTGCCTTGTCATGCCCCCTGGTGTATGCTAAGGAGGCCTTTGCCATCTTCAGGTAGATTACTCTGCTAATCTAGCTTTTCCTGCATTCGTTTCTGGGGGATTTCGCTTTCACCTTTCCATCCCATTGTATACAAGTATGATGGCACAGCTCTAATCCCATCTCCAGAAGTACAGACAGCAGTTATCCCCATGGCTGTAATACCGCCTGACAATCATAGGTAATTAATATAAAATGCACCTATCACAGGGAGAACCAATACCTCCTCTGTCTTACACTTTCTCACCCTATGTTGCTCATGGAATGTCAATTGGTATTGCCCTCAGATCTGGGTCTCTCTGACCTTCAGCTAGCTTTTAATGCTTTTTTAATACAAACACCTGAAAAACCCTTTACCCTGTGAAGATTGGAAAAAATGTGTTTACCAAGCCTACATTTAGCAAAACACTTTGTAACTACTGCTGCTTTCTTGAGTTCTCATATATATGACATCCTATGGTACAATTATCTTTAACTCACTGACTTCAGTTACTTCTACTCACAGAAAAGGAAAAAGCATGTTTAAAAAGACTTAAAAAGAAATTACGCACTTTTTTTTTTTTACAAGTCATAACCAGCTTCTTTCCAGCAGGAGGAGCACTATACTATGTCAAAAATGTTGGTTTCCAATATAATAGTGTAGTTGGAAGAAAGAAGTATCTTGTAATTAAAACAATACTACTACAAACTAATTTATTTAAAAAAAATCTTTAAGAACAAGCTTCTGTGATAAATCTATTTTGAAATGCAAATGAAAAAAATCATGCCTTTGTACATTACTATTAAACTGTATTGTAGATGTCTGAAACTTGTGTTAGAATATTTACAAGTGTACAAGAACTCAAAATATACTAAGCATATTGTGTTATATGTGGGAAACCTGCTTTTATAACGCTCTCAGAAATCCCTCTGTGAGAAAGTGGTAGTTGAGTGGATAGCAAAACTGGGAATGGGAGAGAGAGAGCCTACAGTCTATCCATGGAGAATAGTCTTTCTAGCCTATCCCAGGAGAATTTATGAAGTTAGACTAAAAAGGTCTTTTAGATAAGTGAAAGAACTTGACTACTACCAGAAAAGATGGCAACTTGAAATTAAATTAAAGGGAAGCATACTGAGAGATTTCCATCAACTTTTTATCCTATTCAGTAACTTTCCAAGTAGTCTGTGTTTTCAATTCTTAAAAAAATATGCTTGCTTTTTACAGTAAAAAGATCTCTGTTCAGCTTTAAGGTGAGGTAGACCAGCATTCTCAATGCTGTCATAGTAGGTTGCCCTATTTAGCACAAATTTAAGTCCTTCTTGGATGTAAACACAAAAGTCATTTTCAGTATTTTTTTTAATCCCATTATCATTGATCATTTACTGCCCTGGAATTGGAGTTGCAAATAAGTGAATAAAAGAAGAGGATTGGCAAGAATAGCTGAAAAATAGTCTCTACACAGGAGAGAAAAATCCTAATAAATCCATAAATATTGTGCCTTGTCGTTTACTAAGAATAACCAATAGAAATTCAGTAGTCTCGGTATTTTTGTCAGTTCTCCAAATATTTGAATTTTTGCCTAAGGGTTGTATTATTTTACAAGTAATGGGATAGTGCCTGCAAAGAATCGAATTTAGTATTTTTCTTTAGACACACTCTTCTGCAGACAACGTACGTTCTGTCCCAAGCCAATCAGAAGTTGATATTATGCAGCTGCTTCATAGCTAACATTAAAATTATTTCATTTTGTTTATAAGCCTGTTTTTTAGCATTTCCACACTTCCATCAGCTTGTATCCACCAGACCCGAAAAAATACCAATTTCCCTCAAATTTGTGTGCCTTATTTTGTTCCTGGCTAGAGAGGATTTTTTTCTGTGTTGGGAAGTTTATTCAAATTCAGAAAATAAGTTATTTTTTTTACCAATCTTTTCCTGTTTCAATTTTTTAAAATATTCCAAATTCATTTTGGCTAGTCAGATCTCCAAAATGAGCTGTACTACAAACTCCACGTTTTTGTTTTGTTTTGGTCTTATAGAGGAGTATCTAGGGTGTTTTTATTGTTTTGTTTTTTAGGGGGGAGGGGTTACTAAGTTATATAAAGTGTTCTTTCTACATGTAAACAGAACAAAGATTAAAATATATCTTGTATAAAAATGACATGTTCCTCCTATCAGGCCTTGCTGTAGCAATTGTTCGCCTGAGCCAGAGGATGAAATGGTGCATGGTAGGTGACATGCAGAGCTGCGGGATTCTGGGAAGGGATATGTGGGAGACAATGAACCAGGAAAGATATGTTTCAAAAGTGCTAATTTCCAAACACCTCTTACTGGTCTCGATAAGAACTGTTGGGAATTTGGCAGTTTTGAAGATCAGGCTACTTATTTTTGATACCTAAATAGGTTCCTAAATCCATAACTGTAGGTTCCTTTTTATCTTTTACCCATCAGATAAACACCTCCTTCACCCCCCAAAAAGGCAAAATGAAGATATGGATGTGTGGTGTATATTAGGTGGGGCAATAGGGAGACACCTGCCAACCATTGAAACCATCTGAAAAGTTTTGCTTTATGTATACATATACACCAACAGCTCAGATGTCAGCCAAACAAAACTGTACCAACAATCTTTGCCGACAAAATACGCCTGAAAAAAGTGGCTTAGAATAAGTGTTGTCACAGCTCTCACTAGAGAGTCGCTTGAGCAACACATTGTTTGTGTGTAATATAATATATTTGCACATACAATTGTCTTTAAAAGTTCTGTGCCAATAATACTATTTACAGATATCTCTAGATATTTGTTTGCCCTTCAGTACATAAGCTTTTATTATGACTACAATTTATACATTAGCTGAGAGTTTTTCAGTAAAACTACCGTGTCTCAGTACAAAATGGGAATGTGGGATGCAAACGTTACAAATACTGTCTCTCTGTCATCGAAATACAGTTGTGACTGCATTTCACTAAACCACATAATTATTCAATGAGATTGGGTTTGTGCTGGTGAAAGCAATGTATAAAATAGTTTAGGGCTACATTGTGTCCTGGACTACATGCCAATGAAAGGAAGCAATGGGAAATAATTTCCCTTCCATTCCAGCATGGGCTAACTGGATCGTGAATCTGGCAGGTAGACAAGCAGGTGCTATGTGCCTGTTGACCTGTTGAACAGGTGAGCAAGGAGGAGTGGGGAATGGACATAGACCTGGATCTGCCAGCACCATCAAGGTAGCATAGAGAGGACCAGGTGGGGAAGGTAATATCTTTTATTGGACCAACTTCTCTTTGTGAAAGAGACAAGCTTTTGAGCTTACACAGAGCTGTGTTAACTGGAAAGCTGCTCTCTCTCACCAACAGAAGTTGTTCGAATAAAAGATATTCCCTCACCCACCTGGTTTCTCTAACCTGGGACTAACACAACTTCGGCAACACTGCAAGCAAGGTAGCATAGAGTCTGTCATAATTTGCTACTGGTATAGGCCAGCAGCAAATTACGGGGTAAGAGGGAAGCAAGGAAGGAATTGTAACTCAGAGATGTCTCCGTCATAGTGTCTCCAAGCGGCTACTTCTGGAGTGTTTGTAGCTTATGCATTGTCCTTTACACAGGGCTATGTATAAAGTCACAGTTTTGTCCTTAGGCATTGCATGCCGCACTGAATATTTTTTTTTTGCTTTTCTGAGTGATGATTTTGTAATTCTGAGTGCCATACGATCCACCTAGCTAGTGAGAGTCTACACCAAGAAATAGTTTTCTGGTTGAATAAATAATATGCAAATAAGACTGTCTTTTCTACCTAACCAGAATACTGCATTTATAATCCCAAATGCCTGTTTACCCCCAAGAATAATGTAAATTTTCGCAGCCAAAGTTCGTTCAACCACAGAATTATGCAGGATTCTTGTGGATAACAAATTGATGTCTTGCAGGCAGTGTTTGTGTCTTTAAAGTGGGACACTCGCACTGGGTAAACTCAAAGAAAAAACATTTATACAGAAGTGATTTTCTCAACCTGTAATTTTCTGTATTTCTGCCGTTGGAAAATACTGTGTTTTTAATAAAAACTTTATCCCTTACGGCTCTATTTTGCTTTCTCTGTGATCTTTCATGGAAGTTGTAACACTGTGTTTGACAGTAGTTTGTAAAGAGGAAATGATTATAATTTAATATATTAATTATTATGGTTATTTGGAAGAAGCCCTTGTTTGTTCATATATATTTATAATGAAAATATAATCTTTAACAATTTTCAGGGGAAACAATGGAAAACTAGTAAATGGACATGGTGCCATATGTTGCTGATAGCTCACGCTTTTCAGTAGACCTTCTGATCTTAGATTCATGTTTATGAACAATAATATATTTTGTGTGTTCATGATTTCAGAAATGTTGTCTATCTTCACAGGAAGCAATAGTTACAATTCGGCTTCTTGATGTTCTTTGTGAAATGACATCGAACAATGAACAACTGGAACATCTGCAAACTTGTCCTGGTTTGCTTGAGACAGCTGTGGGTGAGTTAATAAATGCTACTGCTTTCCAACTACTGGTTCAAAACTGTATTCTGCACTGTATATGAAAATGAGTTTTTTCACAACTGGTGGTAATTATGATTGACCTTTTAATCAAATAAATAAATAAATAAAAAGCAGTGAATTATTAATCTACATTTTCAAATGTTTGATTTGTCTCTGGAAGTTCTGCTGCTCTACTTGCTCAGAGTGCAGTTAGCTCTGTTTGCCCAGCAGAGCCTTTATCTCTCTCTCAACAGTCCTATTTGTGTGGGATGAGTTTGTGAAGGACGACGGCTTCATTTTCTTCCACTGTCTGATTGTGTGTTTAACGAGTTCCTCCAAAAATAAAAATAGGACTTTCCCATCTGTCACTTATTGTATTCTTTATTTTGACTTCCAGGTACTGAATAAAAGTTCTCATTAATCAAATTGTTACTTCAAAGTTCAGTTTAAAACAAGCATCCCCATAAAAGTAAAGATTTTTACACAATAAAAAGAAGCCAGGCCAGTGAGGAGAGACCCTCGCCTCAGGTAAAAGGGAGAAAGTGGTGTGCAAGTGATGACTTCTACCCCCAAAACTCTTCACTTTAGCTGAGTCTGATGTTGCTGCACGCAGCCTTCAACACAGCTCGTAAAGGTCTGATGTCAGTTTAAGGAAATCATTCATTCAGCGTATTAATTTGAACTTGTAGACTGATACTACTCAGCTTATATACACTGATATTCTAAATGTCCTTTGGGAAGAGGATTGATAGTGTGCTCTGCTCCTACACTTACCTATTGCTAACCTTTCTGATTAAATTCAAATACATAATTTACTACTTCCATTAAGTAAGGGCACTTAAATACACTTACGTCTATGTATGTCTTGAAGAATCACAAAATATCCACTTGTACTTCCTTAACACATGCTTAACTGTTTCAGCACAGAAGGAGAATTACAAGGAGTTGGAGATCAATACAGCAGTTTCACCAGTTAATGTGCCAATACTTGTTTCACTAGCAGCTTTGTCTGATTTTTCTGCGCAGTTATCTCCAGACTAATTAAACACAACTGCAGACTAGAACATTGCAACCTTGTGTGATCCGTTATAGTTCTCAGGCACTGCTAGCCAATAGGACTACTGCAATGGATTCTGTTCTCCAATTTGTTTCTTAGCCTAAGAATAACAATGTTAACTTGACAGTTAAGTGTTTTTTGTTAGCAGCAGTTTGAGGGAAAACCTCAATGTTCCAGAGAAGTCTCTGCTTTGAAAGAATTGAAAACCGAGCACTGCAAAGGGATAGCATCAATAAGAGTGTCCGAATCATCAGCCACTAATGGCTCTGATGCCTGTGTGGAAAATTGGACTCATCCTTATGACTCTGTGTCTGAACTACAAAATCAAATAAGTGTGAGAAGCTTCAGGGCTGTCTTAATCTAACCCTAGCACAAAAATTAACAAACAAACAAACAAAATTGGCAAACTGATGTTCTTCCAACATTCTTGAAAAATCTAGAATTATATAGAAATGTTAAGTATCAGAGAGGTAGCTGTGTTAGTCTGGATCAGTAAAAAGCAACAGAGAGTCCTGTGGCACCTTTAAGATGTACTGGAGCATAAGCTTTCGTGGGTGAATTCCCACTTCGTTGGATGCATGTAATGGAAATTTCCAGGGGCAGGTATAAATATGCTGGCAAGAATCAGTCTGGAGATAAGTGTTCTCCTACAGGTTTTTGTATACTGCTTCAAGTTTCTTCATGAGGTTGATAGATTTCCATTCAATACGGCTAAATGCAGTGCCTTGCATGGTGTCAAGTATCAGAGGGGTAGCCGTGTTAGTATGGATCTGTAAAAAGCAACAGAGTTCTGTGGCACCTTTAAGACTAACAGATGTATTGGAGCATAAGCTTTCGTGAGGTTGAGGTTCTTCATGAGGTTGCTCCAATACATCTGTTAGACTTAAAGGTGCCATGAGGTTTCTTCTGTCAACCTCATGAAGAAACTTGAAGCAGTATACAAAAACCTGTAGGAGAACACTTATCTCCAGACTGATTCTTGCCAGCATATTTATACCTGCCCCTGGAAATTTCCATTACATACATCCGACGAAGTGGGCATTCACCCATGAAAGCTTATGCTCCAATACATCTGTTAGTCTTAAAGGTGCCACAGAACTCTCTGTTGCTTTTTATAGAAATGTTAGTGTTTTGAAAATTGCACCACGCTATCAAAAGCAGTGATGTTCCCAATATGTATTAAAATGTCTGTTTGCTTCCTTATGTAGATACTTTGCGGCTAACTCACCTGGCTGGGAAACAGACTGCAAATATCTTCACTGCCACACATTCTATGACAGGAGAGGGAGAAATTTCACATCCAGCTGTGGGTTTTAAATCACACCTCATTCGATTGATTGGAAATTTGTGTTACAAGAATAAGGAAAACCAAGACAAGGTAGGATTGTTTCCATGTAGTCTCTTGCATGATCAGCTACACTCACTTGTGTGTGATTTATGACTAAATAATATAGTTAATCTACAGTAGAGGTTAAAATTAGTATTAGGAGGGCAGAAGCAGAAATGTTGCTGGACTGCTTCAGAATTATGAAAGAAACTCACATCACGTAATTACCATAATTGGCTTTATTTTTTGTGTGTGTTTAACATGTTTTACTTCAATTGAATCCTCGTGCTTTCTGTCCATCTCTCTCTCTCAAAGCCAATGTTTAGTTCTTCCTGCCCCTTTCACATCTGACTACAGTTCTTAAAAAGCTTCTGGAAGTTAAAACCCAGCTGATTTTTAAAAAACAAACAAAAATCCAGTTTAGTTGGCCTCTCTCTCTCTCTCTTTCTCTCTCTCCTAAAACTTTCTTCCATTTTTGAGATGCAGGTAAGTCTACATACCTCCTCATATTGAATCCTCTGACTCTGTTGAGGAGCCAGTCCCATATAGGGAAAATTAGCTTTTCTTTATGGAGTGAGAACAATGAAAAGAAAGTGAGGGGGCAGCTGCCTACTTTTAGTCATTAAATCCTTTCCTGAGTGTTGCATAAGATGTGATTTTCATCCAGATGTGAACCTGCTTTTCTTGCTGCAGGCAAGTAGGCCTTCGATGAAAAATATTGTAATGTTTAAATGCATTATGTTGTAAACCTTTCCAGAATTGGACAGATTGCACCATAAGGTAAATTAATCAAAGGGCTCCTAACACATAATAATCCTCCACAACACACTTTTCAAGATCTCTGGGTCCTACACATGCTTATCACAACACAGGAGATGTGGAGATGGGTTGAAAAGTGTGTTATGCGGAATACTGATCATCATAGCAGTGGAGATATGTCTGCAAGTTTTGCATCTATTATGGAAGGGGCTGGTGCTGCTTTAAGTTGGTGTGTTTTCGTTTATGGAGAGCTTGCTTCTGATGACACATCTTCTGATGACGAGCTTGGTGTCATGGTAGCCTTCCCTCTGGCTCATGAGGGCTAGAGGTGACTGTTTCTTAGGGTCAGTCAGACTGTTTGTTTGAGCAAATTGAGGGTTATTTCCTTTATTTCAATATTGTCTTAGATAAAGTTAAAGGGTTTAACAATTTCCAGAAAAGTAATAAATGGGATAGAAAATAAAAAGCATGGGATAATGGCTAGCTCAAAGGACTAGTAAAGAAATATAGAGCATTTTATGTCCTTCTCAAATCAGGCCTATGTCAGCAGAGACCATAGCTATTATCTGACCGCTCATGAGCGTTCCATGTGAGATGAGCTAATCTAATTCCACATTGCCAAGTAGAGTCTGTCTACTGTTACTTGGGCTGTTTGTATCTGGTCCTCCACTTCTTATTTTGTGGTCACAGCCTCAGGTTCTGCCACCTGTGGAGAAGGATTTCTTTTCCAGTATAGTTTTTTCATTGGAACAGTGTGTTGTAATGCTGTTTGGATGGAGGTAATATCAAGGCAACAGTACACTGAACAACTAAATATCAAAGACAGTTTCCTTGGGAATGCTTGTACTTCCATTGCCAGTTTGAGGAGACATACACGCACTAGCTCTCATTGGTAAATGGTAGTTTGTCTTAGCCATGTGTATGGCCAGTGCAGTTGCACTGCCCCAGGAACAAGGTTGAGTGGTTTGTGACTCAAGTCAGAATCTACCTCCCCATTTCCTCTTGCTCTATGGGAGACAGACCCTTCACCAGCACCTATACCTGGCACGGACTACATCTCCCAGTGTGCTGTTGCAGCTCTGCTGCCTGGTGCATTGGGGGCAGAGTTGAAGCAATGCCCATCTACACAGGCTGGGAGGGAGATGGGTAGTGACTCTGCAGAAACTGCTTCCTTCACCCATCCTCTCACCTGCTATGCAAGTAGCTAGGACAAGGGATTAAAGAGGTGATTTATATTGGCAATAGTGGAAAATTTTGGGACAATACTTCTGAGTGGAAAAATTAATTATTGCTGTTACTTTGATGCATCTGCATCTTGTATTAAACCTGTAGTTTAGTTTTCAGAAAACTTATTTTTATCCCTCCATTGTGGAAATAAGTATGGTGTTAGCCCTGTGGTATCATTCTGATGGAAACCTTCTGGGGCTTGTTCTTAGGAATGTATTGTTTACATCTCTTCTTCTTCATAGTTTTTTTTTTTTTTTTTTGCTATTGTGATAAGTTCTTAAGACATAGAAAAAGCAGAGATTTAAGTTGTAAAATGAGATGTGATTATTAAAGCAGGTTGTTGGCAGGCTAGCCACCCTAATTATATTTTTTCTGAAGCTGCGTAGGTGAAGTGTTGTAAGAAAAAAGTCTCGGACCAAATTTGCAGTTCAGGTCACTAAAAATATGGCTGTGCAGGATATCACTGAATGTGAGTGTTGACTGATATAACATGTCTGATATAAATCCAAATGTTTTTACTCAGTGCTGGTAGAGCTTGAGCAGCAACAGACATATGTAAAGTTCAAACCTGTGCAAGGAGTGAAAAATCCTTTTGACCTAAATAGTCTGGTGGGGCTCACCGCCCTCTTAGCCCCTGCTGCAGGGAGGGGAAGCAGTCAGAAACTGCCACATCTAGGACACCTGGGGGCAGGCTGAGCCCTGTGGGCCACTTGTCTCCACCCCCGGGACAGGCATGGAACTTTCTCGGGAGGGGAACCTGCCAAGAGCCACCTTCAAACACCTTGGGTGTTTTTGTGGAAGGGGGGGAAGGGAGGAGTTGTGTTTTTTGCTTTGTCTCTCACAGAATGAGACTGAGTGTCCCTTACTTGGGAGGTTGTGAGGAAGGAAGGGGAGTGCTTGGGTAGAGCAAGGACTGTAAGAGATGTTTGACAGGCAGGTTGGACATGCGGGCGGCGAGTCTGTGCTGCAAAAAGAAAACTGAGTATAAATGATTTATTCTGTATCTGTTGGTTTTGTCTTTTTTTAAGATTATACAGTCTTTGGGGCAGCAGCTATCCTCTGTGATTATACAGTGCCTAACACAATGGAGCCCCAGCCCTTCACCCCAACCGCCTGTTCAGTAGAAAGTTGGCTTTTTGTTTCACTCCAGCTGTCTGCATAGTAGCACAGAAGAGAACTGCCAAGTTCAACTGTTGCATATAGCTAGAAAATTCTCTGTGTCCTGAGTTGGAACTTTCTTGACAAAAGAATATGATGCTAAGGAAAGTTACTCTCTAGAAACTAAAGTCTTCTGTTCAGCAAAGGAACAAGTACATCATGGATAGCAACTATTTATCTTCATCAACATTACCCTGTCCATTTTCAGGGACATCATCTAAAGAGTGTCACGGTAGTTCGTTTTCCATCTCCCATTAATTCTTTCTTCTCTATTAAGAGTGCATTTTTTTGTGGTGTGAACACCATTGTTTTCTCTTTTTCTTTGCTAAAATATATTCATTTTGAAAGGGGAATCCGTATCTCAAATGGAGTTTTTGTTTGGGCATTCCAAAAAGCCGTTGACAATTAGTATAAGCAGTATGTCAATATTGAAACAAGTCAAAAATGTTTCTCATTTTTCAGTAAAAATTTTCTGACCAGCTCTAATCAATATGCAGCTTTTAACTAATAAAACAAAACATTAATTACAAATGTGAATTTAAGAAGATGCCTTAGAAGTAGATGATGTTAACATAACTTCCTTCCCTCTGCAGAGTAAATGGCCAGTAGTCATTATTGCTGGGATTCTTATGCTTTTTGTAGACACATGGAAATAACCATAAGAATTGTATAAAAGGAGAGTGGTCAGTAAACTTCAGACCCTGACTGTATTCTTAGGTACTTGGCTCTACTGCGATGCAGGCAGGCAATGAGATTTCTTGGGCAGGAAAATGGTTTGACTCAAAACAATTTTATTCTTTAGGCAAGGGAAAAAAAGTCTTGATTACCAAAAGCATTAGACATCAATGCCAGGCACATGCCTACCTGAATGGGATTGCTCTAATTTTGCAAATAACTCTCTCCATAGAAAGAAATCAATACTTTTTTTTTTCTTTCAGAGGAAAGATTACTTAAGGAATGTAGGTTCTGAGTTTTGAGATGCATATCATTTTACAGTTATAGCTGACGACAACGCTTCCCTAAATTTAACTTCTCCATTGATTCAGAGTAGAGGAAGAGTCTTCTTGTGTGGATAGAAAATATACTTCAGGTGCATCTTTTCTAAGGTGTAAACTTACAAACAAATTTTAAAAAAATAAAATATTGTCTGTTTTGTCTAATAAATTAGTTGAATTTTTTTTATAACATTGTTGGCTTTTGAGAAGTCTACCTGGCTGATTTGAAGGCTGCTCAACCTGAAAATATGAGCAAGATCTGACTTGTTTAGAATTCCTCTTTTTTGTAATGTAATCCCATTTTTTAAAATGTCAAAATTCATAAATCAAGCTGTCATCATTAGTCTCCTTTACTTACTGTTCCTGTAACAGTCAAATAAATTAAATTCCAAAGTAGAAGATACATACCTCCTTGCTTAGTTTTTTAATTATAGGTTATAATTTTTTACTCTCCAGTATTCTGAGGTATCAGAAATAACTCTTAGCTGGGTTAACTGCATCTGTCTCTCAACAGTTTATATTATGTAAAAGAGGCAGTGTTTTCATTCTGTATTGTGTGTTGTCAGTTAAATGAACTGAACTACATGCTTGGGCTAGGCCATGCAATTGTCTGTAAAGGAAGGTACAGAAGGTGTTAAAATGACATGGATTTAATTATATATGACATTATTTGAGAGAGAGAAATCAACATTATTTTACTGATGTTTCTAAAGAAAAAACTGATACTGCGATGGATATTGAAATCCCTGTTAAAATTACCCACATACCACTACACCATCACAGAATTGTTAGTGCTACTACTTTTTCACGTCATGGTATTTCATTCTTATGGCCTGACTGTCAGAAGTGCAAAATTCTTACTGAAGTTGGACAAACCATTTATTTTGAGTAGATCTATTATTAAAGTAGCCT